ATTGAACTAACTCAGAACGCCTTTGTTTCTACCAACAGCTCGGATGCAGAAAATGATGAAGAGCCCATGGTAAGTTTCAAAATCTTCTAAATATCAGCTTTAGCATAAGCTGGCTAAAAGGTACAATTCGCAGAAGTTTTACTGCCTTTACAAGGTATTGAGGTAAAATGTATGACATGCTTAGATGCAGAAAATGATGAAGAGCCTATGGTCAGTTTCAAAATCTTCTAAATATCAGCTGTAACTTAAGCTGGCTAAAAGGCGAATTTGAAACTACCTTATTAGCACAGGCCAGGAGTACAGTTGTAAACAAAGTTAAAAATTGGTATAATTATTGGCGAAACCGTACTTTTGGTGTATACGATGCTAATTTCAATTAAAGTTTAACAGCGAGAAGCCTTCAGAGAAACATATGTTATACTCACCAAATTCTGCCAAGTTTGAATTCCCTTGCTCTGTAAACAATAACGATCGTAATCACACTGATACGAATGTTTTTGTTTAATCCATAGGCTGATCCAAGTCTCAACCATAACACTAAATGACAATTCCTTCTTTTGTTCATCATTGCTTGATCATTTTAACCAGAAACCGGGAATTTGTGCCAAAAAGTATAAACTACGGCTTGCAATCAATGGTGGTTACAACATTTAAGCGGGACGCCGAATGAGCTTCTAGTCACGTGCGTAAATATGACGCTATCGTTTAGAGGTGGTAATCCGCCAGAGTATAGTGCCTGCACTCACGCTTCTATTGATTAGCGTTTCGCTCGGTGTCTCTTGTGGTTATTACCCTGGAAGAAGTTTTTAACTTTGTGAATCTTAGTCAAGAAATAAACTGTAACACTATCTGATTGTGCGATTACATAGTGGGACACTTTCTAGATAACGCGTTGTTTACATAACGTAAATTTTCACGTGCAGTATCTTTCCCGCCGTTTTGCTGTATGTACTGCTGTGGTCCTAAATAAATGGTTGAGTTAAAACAACACAACACTTTACATAAACAAAGAAGCATTGAAAAGTGTGCTCTATGATATTGCTGCGAGATTTTCGTATCGACGAAGTCGACTGAACCTCTCGCTGCAAGCATGTTTGGCTAAGATGTGAAGCTTTTATGAGGTCTTCGAGCAGAGATGGGTGGATGTATACATGTACAGCTAGAGTACTACAGATGTATTTATATATAGCCAGCGGAGTTAGCGGTGCATTTTATAGTAGAACGTTCAAAGTGTTCAGGATATTACTTTCACTAGTCTATTTTAATTCTAAGAGCATTCTGATATTCCCACTGCAATCTATCTGGCTGTTCTGTACTTTTATAAACAATGTAATTAAGTGTTTGTGTCCCTGCAGATGGATATTTCTCCCATTTTGTTTTGAACTAATCGTAGCGTCAATTTTTTTTTATCATCTATATATATCATTTGATGATCAAAGAAAGGTACGAGCAAATTTTTTAAACCATGTGCAAAACGGGTTTTATTTTTCTAAGTACTTTTTCCGTATGTTTAACTGACCTCTGGAAGAAAGTCTTCCAGTTTCAATTATCAAATGAAGAGTTCACATGCATGTCAAGTTTCTAAATTTGGGTTAAAACTGTCTTACACGCAAACTGAGTCTTGCATGGGTAACTTCACACTTTTGAGGGCAATTTTTTTAACCTTGTTTTTTTCACATGGTGTTCTTCCACATTACCCTTTCACATGGTGTTCTTTCACATTCTATCTTCAAATGTTAAACTAGGAATTTTCTAAATTTTTAGTGCATGTGAAACTCTCAGATGCAGATTCATACACAAAGTTTCACTTGGTAAATTTTTTCACTCGACTTGAATCACATTTCCTAAATTCTGAAATGTGTTTCACCTGTGGGCCAGGATGGGATCACCCTTTTTCAGCCTGGGAGGTGGGATCCCTGTTAGGATAACCTTGAGTCCAACAAGGGATCCCTCTTATCCTTCCGAGACGGGATCCCAGGCGGGATAACCATGAGTCCCAGGTGGGACAGATGCTATGGGATCCCGCTTATCCCACCTTCAATCCTTGGTGGGAGGAGGGCAACCTCGTTCCCAGGGCCTTTTTCTTTAGTTGGGAGTGGGGCGCCCCACCCCTAGCAAAGGGAAAAGGCCCTGGGAACGAGGATGGGAAGCGGGATCCCAGGCGGGATAACCATGAGTTCCTGATGGGACAGATGGGATTCCACTTATCCCACCTTCGATCCTGGGTGGGAGGCGGGATAACCGTGAGTCCCAGGTGGGAGAGGTGGAATCCCGCTTATCCCGCCTTCAATCCCGGGTGGGAGGTGGAATCCCAGCTTGTTAGTCCCGGGCGGGAAAAGTGGGACCCCACCTTTGTTGGCGGAATCCCGCCATTCCCACCTGGAATCCCAGGTGGGATTGGCGGGATCCCACCTAAATCCCGACTGCCGCGCCCTTTTACCTGGGTATAGTTAATGATTTTAGAAACTTAAAAGTATATCTCTGGAACACGTTCTTTAAGAAAACATAGCATTGACACTAATTATGATGCAATTGTAGCAAATTGTGATATCTTAGAATTAACAGAAACTCGATCGACTTCAATCCTAACATTCAGAAGATACTATCAGGGAAACACTACACCCTTATAAATTACATAGACAAGATCACCCGACTGATATATATTCAAGTTTAGCTATTTGTTCAAAACACAACATTAACATATTAAAAAAGCAGTATTTTCCAACTATAAATGGTTTAAAGTTTAATGTATTCAACTCCAACACAGGCGAAATGACATCATTCCTTTTGATATATTGAAAAAAAAGTACTATTACTACACAGTCTGCTGATAGTCTCAAGAACATTCTGCGAACTCCTATCATGGACATAATCTTTGGAGACTTCAATATCAATTACTTTGATGAATTTGGTATAGTGTCCCTGAAGCAACTGATGAATTCTTGAGGATGTATTCAAATTATAAACAAACCAACCTTTGTATCAGCAGGAAGTCTTTTAAATCAAGTTTATGTTAATCAATTTCTTTCCAATAAAGTGCAAAATGAAGTCAATAGTGTCTATAATATTATTCAGATCATGGTTCCGTTCAAACTACAATCAGCCATAACATTTAAAATCAACTTATAATTTCTAGCAGGACGTCCAATCATTTTTCAAAGTCACACTGTAGAACCAACTAATGATAATACAAATTAAAGCCACCATCAGAACAGTCCTGTTTTCCCAGACGTACGCATATATATTTGTCCAATCAGAACTTTATCCCAAAAGGTGACAACTCTCCCAAGCAAAGAGTATAAAGAGGGATAAAAAAGAGTATAAATAGCTCGGTGTCTAAGCTGTCATTCTCACTTTTGAACTGCCCACGGTATCTACATCGTGATGGTACCGACTGTTACATACCTGTTAACTCATGTCATCTTCGACGTCTTCTACATCAAGCGCCAAAAAGTGACAATCGAAACGAAAGTCAGAGGAAATCATAATCGGATATGTTCATAACCTCGCTTCAGTTAAGAGAAACCGTGGTAATACGATGGATTATGTATCAATGACGCTGCAAACGTCACCTAACACGAGCTGTGAAGCTCTGTTGTACTCGCCTCAGAATAGAACGCTCTTCGCCGAGAGCCAAACTCGGCGCACTCCATTCAAGCTCAGAGACTTCACATGTACTGATGATCAAAAGATGGTCGCCAATGACATGACATTTGTTGGGGTACCTCATCAGTCCGAGTACTCCTCCCAGCAAGCAGAAGTGCCAAGTCAGTTCAGCAAAGAATCTGTTAAAGTATTGGAAGTGCTTAACACCATTAAAGAGTGGGATAGCGTGGTGGTGCGTGGTAAAATAACCCAGATCAATGAAACGACCAACGTTGGATCTAAAGGGTTAAAATTGTCTCAAGCCGTCATCACCGATGCCACAGCGTCTATACAGTTAGAGAATTCAGCTAGGTGCATGCTCGACAATCGTCAAGTGTCAGCAATGTGGCATGATGCGTGCTGACAAATGCAAAAGCGGACTAATAACGAAGGTAATCTACGAGCACATCCCTTTCACAGATATTGTTCTCTATTTTAACCATTACATCTATGTGTTTTATGAAGGTAACCGTTCAAGACTCTTAGCAACGAGAATTTTCCTTAAAGATGGGTGACGATATCTTGTTTAAGCTGCTTCAGTACGATATCGCGTCATTGGAGGAGGATGGATTGGCGAAACATCTACTTTTCATAGAGAAGGTCTCATTCTCGTATGATGAAAACACTCTATTAGTTACACATATTAATTAGAAACAGAACAATAGCAACCATGTTCCAGGTAACTATCATCTGACTTACGATAGCGTAACAGTTGTCAATTTTATCTATTTTTAAGAGACTTGCATTCATTTATTATCTTATACTTTTTTTATAATTGAAATATTGTTACGGATAGTCGTTTTCAATTTTGTAAAAAAAATTTTAAGAATCGTTGAACACTTTAAAATTATTAAAAATAAATAATTGTTATTGCTTTATGTTCATTTTCTTTTTTCACGCATATATGCATGCCACCACTTGAGGTATTCCAAAAGTAATGCGCCAAACAGGTTGTAAACATGTACTCAGACTAGCACCGTCAGTGTATAATCTATTTTGATCTAGACGTATTAGAATTGAGCCCGCTTTCTTTCTTTTTTTGTGACAACATTTGTGTGCAGTGCTTTTCAATTCCTATACATTATTATAGTTCACCACAAAGTTTTCTCCGGTTCTTATTGGTTTAAATCGATCACGTGACGCGATAGTGTTCATCCGTGGAGAGACACTATCAGCCCATTGCGTCCGCCCGCGGAAAATAGCCGGATGGATAGTGCCGGTCCGCGGAAAATACCTGGATTGATAGTACTCATCCGTGAAAAGTTTTGAATAGTTTGACGGCCGCGAAGTTAGGCAGATCGGAATAGCAGTGACTTTTCAATTCTGACAGGTATAACGTATTATTTAGCCAATGTACGGTTGAGAATTATTGACATTTGTTACAAGCTGTAGGCGCAGAAGAAAATTTAGTGGTGAACAATAAAAACAATAGAGGGTTTATGTCTCGGAACTATCGGTCTGATAGTTGCCCCTTGGAAATTTGATGTTCCTAAAACTAGCATATTTGCCCTCGAAGCTTCGCTTCTCGGGCAAATTTCCGCAGGGCAACTATCAGACCGATAGTTCCTCGACAGAGACACTCTATTGTTTAAATAGTAACAAGCAGAACAAAGATGTAAACATGCGGCGGTGGGGAGTTAGGAAATTTGTCAAAACGTAAATTAAACAACACTCTTCGTCAGATTAAATGCCTTTGTAAACATTCCGAAGCAAAGAATCTTGCGTTCACGCAGTCATGCATCTAGTTTGATGAAATGAACCCTCTAATAGAGAAATCCTGAGGCCCATTGCTTGCGTGAAACCGCAGTTTTGGTTAGACCTCGCGTTAATAAGCTGTCCAAAGTATTGCTCGCCGCGCAAATTTAGCTGCTCTTTTGGGCATTGGTCGCTGATTCATTTCTCAAAGTTTCCACGTTGTACAGATCAAACATTTTACATATTTCTGCAAGGAAAGCATTGTTTTCAACTACGTGCTGGAGACGCCACTGCGAAATTATGTTGAAATGTTATTATCTTTTGCAGTGTCGTATCATGAACTGAAAAAAAAAATCGTATCTTTGGATCTACTAGGTTTAATTCGCTGATTTAAACGGTAGTATGCTCTCTCTTCCAAGAAAAAAATATTTCCTTTAAATTTTCAAGATGTGCCGATTACATTCATTCAGATGTTTCTGCAAGGAATTTGTTTTTCATCTGCCGTCAAATGAGTGTGAGACGTTTATTTTCTTGTGTCACAGCAAGAACTGAAAAATTATATCTTCGGTTGTAAGACATAATTCATTGATTTAAACGGTGACCACTGAGAAAATAATCTCTTGGATGGTCTTAGTGTAATGTTTTGATAGTATTGTTTACCGGAAGTTTTGTTAGCGGGAGTTCTCGGACTGGTTCCACTGTCCACCATTTTCTCAGAAGATTTTTTTTTTTTTTTGCTGTTATCTGTTTGTCTCTAAAGAAAGGAAGTGATGTAATGTTTTGATAGTATTGTTTTCCGGAAGTTGTGTTAGCAGAAGTTCTCGGACTTGTTCCACTGTCCACCATCTTCTGAGAAAATGCCAAGACTTTCCGCACAAATGACTTCCTAATATATCCACTACCTCACAAAACGAGTCCCATCTTCGTCGCCAATGTAACGATGTCACCCGGATGGCCGGGTAATAAACCAGATTTAACTATAAAAAAAAACACTACACTTTATTCAGCCGCCCTAACAACCGGAAAGCGTGGCCCACACAACTATCCATGATCCTTTGTATGTTTACAATGTCCTAAAACTTCCGCTAACACAACTTCCGGTAAACTATACTATTAAAACATTACACTTAGAAACAAATAAGTCTGTTTCAATTGTATTCTTCGTAAGTGTATGCTGCGCCCACTAATTTCTCGCCACGAAGGTACTCCTAAACGAACAATAAGTATAATCGGGTCAAACTTGGGTGAAGCCCGGCGTCTCTTCTTACTTACTGTTACTCCTTTCAAGACGCAGTAGCCACAAACAATAAAAAAAAAGAAATGGCTAAATTCTTGAGAATTCAACAAAAATAATGGAAATGGTACACAGCCGAGAGAAATAATTAGGATTTCAATTTGTTCTCAACAACTTTCGACTTGACCCAACCCACGTGGCTACTACTTGGTTAAACAGTACGTCAACAGTTGACGAACGGCATCGAAATCGACATCGAACACTTTAGCCCAAAATCACAAGGTACATGTACGAGAATTTCTCTCCCTACTTCCAAAATGAGATATTGAATTAGAGCAGTGACGAATCATATCGCAATTAGTCCTTGGAATAGCGAAACATACCCAGCCATTTGAACTCACAATTAACCACAAATCGTTTCTGACAAGTTGGTGAAAGATTCAGGGTAGTGCGAAGGCACCGAAAACGAGAATGCCACCGAACTTTTTCCAATAACAGCAAACCCTACCAGCCAACAAATTTTGAATACACCGACGATATCCAAGAAAATTTGTACATTGACAAAATTTTGGGCGCTTAGAGCTATCAACCATGTTTTCTTTCAAGGAATAACGTCAATGGCCAACATTCACAGAAAGGATCACGTAAGTGGGGTATGTGAATCAAATGTCAACAAAAATAATAATATCGTAAGTAGTCCCACACAAACATCGCAGAAAATCCCACATACAGGTCTCTTTCAAAACATAGCTGAATACTTTTATACTATGAAAATCAAATCATACTAAAAGCTATTCCTGAAAGTCATGGACCTACACAGACATCTACATATAGGGCCCCGCAGTAATCGAAATGGCTGCAAATCAAATATTACCAATGTGCGAGGTTGACATCAACTCTTACAAGGCAGCCCTTGATTTCAAGACATGTACGTTAACAAGTAGAAGAACACTTGTGACGGGAGAAACCGTTTCAATGATACACATGTAAATTCCTATACCGGTAGTAGTAGTAATAAACTGAAAATTCAACTAGTATTATTTTTCTATGTACAAATTCACACAGTTTTGACACTTAAATCAAAGCCCAACTTCTCTTCGCCTTGTTGTTGTTAGGAATTAATCAGATTAGATTTTTTGTTATGTCCATTTTCATTTTCTTCTACATGGCGCCTTACACTCCGTGTCTTTGTTTTCGTTTAGTTTTTCGGTTTGTTTCTTTTTGTTTTTCTTTTACGGATATATGGGCTCCTTTTGGTAAGTTATTGACTTTATCTGCATTAATGAGCATGCTTAACTACAAATGTGTGATTGTCCCCCTTAGTAGTTTTCCCCTTGTAATAAGTCATTATTCTGTCATTTTCAGATGTACTTAAAATCATTACTTGGGATGACTCAGGAACGTAGATTGTGAATGCAATGCAGTTATCAGTAAAACAAAAGTAGACAATGGATAAATTATCACTGTACTCGGGTGAACATGTCTAAAGGAAAACAAACACTGATTTTTAGCCTGTTTGTCATACAGTCAAGCAGAGCCCTCATAATGCACACATCGTTATTGTACAGCATCCTAATCCCAATTTTTTTCACCCATGTTCACTGTAGACTAGCAAGGAGTTAACAGTCACTTACATCAAGCGGATACAGACACTGAAATGGCGATATTTATTCGAAAATTTTAAGTTTTTGTGTAATATATGAGTAGACTATGGGACTATGATCTCCACCAATATACCTGGACACCACTTTACTACTATATACGAGTATGAATATTTACTGTGGTGACCTGAGATCAATAAGTACATGACTGTGTAATAAGTTTACACAAGAATTCATAATGCGTGCTCACGATATGAGACATTACACCTGACTGTAAACGAGCCATAACAATTTTACTTACCTATGTCATGCTTAATTCGTTAGAGATGATCTGGATTTCACTCTGTCCCCAGTTTTAAATACAGGACCTAGAGGTAAGAAAAAAACTGTAATATTTTCCAGAAAGAGGCAACTTGAAATTCACTGTCCTCCCTCCCAAAAAATACTTTCCTCATCCCTCCCTGGGCCAAACTCGCAACCCAATCCCACTTAGAGTAGCCATGTCTGTCCTCTGGTTCTCAGTCTACCGAACTTGCAGTAATAGGAGTGCAAATATTGACAGTAATGAGCAAAACACCATTCCTTACTGACAACGAGGGTATGATAATCATTTTTGCACAACGCTCAATTATAATTTGCTTTTCTCAGATGACTGCTGAAACACCAAATATCCACCCAAGGGAAATGTGATTGAGGATCACCAGTATAAACATGTTAGAAAATTGAGCCTTGTGCATAAAATGACTCTAACTATTCTTCTGTAAATACTTGGAAACACAGGCTATCATTTATGAAAAAGAGTATATTGACGATATTTAAATCCTTGATTATCTAATACCAGTCATGCCTATTTGGCTTGTTATCACTATAACACTGTAAATTATTGGAAGCACCAACTTTATCTTTTGAAACTGAGGAAACTGAGGATGCATACACTACTGATTATGCTCAACCAGTTATGAACATCTGATTTGTTATCTATGGGTGACTGGCTAGGTGTACACTTAATTCTAGAGCTTAAGGGGACAATACAATTCTACTGTGAAGCTACATTTTATGGTTGGCCTCTCGACAATTAACTAAGATACCCTTTCTATCATATCTCAGATTTTGAGCATAACTGACTACCTCTGGAAGGGTCCTAAAAGAGAGAGGTTGATTCAAAAATGAAAAATGTTCAAACTGTTGGAAAATAAGTTGCAGTTATATGTTATTCTTTAAAACTCTTGAACAGCTATTTTCCCTGCAAATGACACACCACGTTGAACGTATTTGATTGGAATTTTTTCGGGATTATCGCAGATCAACAGGGTCTTCTTTCCCCGCTTCTGCAATGTCCGTTCCCTTTGCTGCGGTTTCGCTAGATAGTATATAGGGACAGTGGGAATCTCGTTCATCCATTCAGTGGGAATCTCGTTCATCCATCTAGCGAAACCGCAGCAAAGGGAACGGACTTTGCAGAATCAGCGGGGAAAGAAGACCCTGTTGAGCTGCGATAATCCCGAAGAAATTCCAATCAAAAACGTTCCCCAACGAGCCAGAAGAGGCCAAAACTATCAGAGGCACATTACGCTAATTGCTCGCGCGTGTTTTGAGTTACAATTACCATCGTAATTACATTTACACTTACATTTTTCAGTTATGTAGCACAGACTTCTATGTGGATATATTCAGTCGCGCTTAACAGTATCTTAAGGTTGAGATCAGACGTCAGCATTTTTATCAGGCGCCTCTGACAGCCGCTTCAGTTCATGTAGTGATCTCACCTTCCCACCCATCCCACCCCGGGGAGGACATCCACTACACAGTAATCACGTGCATGGGAAATTTACGT